TATATATAAAGGGATAGATCAGTGGGAGAGTGGAGGTCGCATATTGGGCCCAGGCCACGCGGGTCTTCATACGGAATTTTTCAGAGTAACCGAGTACGACCCACATGAACTCCCCGCTTATCACGAACAACATAGAACGACTGGTCCTGTTCCAGGCATTTCACTTGCAGCTACATGCGACAACAGTGATTATCAATCATGAACCTCACAAAACCAAAAGTGTTGCAGGAAAGGACAAAAAGCAATGAGTAAAAACACGTGTTTGGTAGCAGATGTAATGAGGAAGGCCAAATAAACAAAAAAAGGAACTGAAAATACATTATCCCGACGGTACCGGAGCGTGAGATGATACACAATTGACGAATCTCTGGGTTTTGTATCCAGAAACAAAAGGGATACCAACGGGCACTGTATTTTGGTAGCGAATATAATCCGCTCCGAAGAAGCGAAGCAAATGCATCTCCTCAAATTCGATTCGAGTGCGGAAAAATGAATGACATGCAAAAACATAGGCAACCAAACAAACTGGATTGCCAAGAAGTACTTGGGTTCCAATAGCCCAATAAAACCAACCAACATAGGCTGGATGACGAACCCAAGAGTACACACCGTGTGTGACCAAGACGTGCTCTGGCCTTCGTGAAACTTCAACAAAGTGGTCAAAGTTTGTACGCGCTGTCAGTATTGCAGTCTTGCGTAAGACTTCCCCCAAAAAACAAATGAAGAGTCCCGAAAGTCTCAACCAAGTTGGAGTTGACCAGGAGATTGCGTAGAAATCTACGAAGAGCGTTTCAATCCAGTACTCCACAACGCTTGATAAAAGTGCGATTAAGTATTCGGGACTGTGATCGAGCATGTAGATATCGATAGAACAGCGAACTGGGTTGAAAATAGCAGTGAAAAAGAATTCGGACCAGTGGAAGAAGCCTAGCAATATTAGATATGAACCGAAGGGCCAGAAAACACGATACTGTTGAGGAGATAGGGATGTTGCACAGAGAAGCAGTCCCAGACCAACGTTATAACCCAGAAAAAAAGCGCTCCAAACATTCTGCCTGGGATCGCAATGTCCTGCTTTTGTCGCGATTTGAAGGCAATAGGATATGATGAGACTAAGGATCGGTATAGACAAAGCAGGATACAGAACAGTGTACACAATACTATGAAACACAATGTGATCAGTTGACGCCAGACAGTAGACAAAGGGAAACAACAGTCCGCCGCTGATGAAACCGACGCACGAAAGAACTGCATCCAACGAAGATGTCCTAAGACTATAGACTAGTCGGTTCCAGAGGCTGTGTCCATCATTAGTTTCGATGGGGGCCTAAAAGAATACCAATTTAAGAAGACTTAATAGGCCTTGAACACCGGAATTAGAAGCCCAAATACAAGTGTTATAAACAGAAAGAACGATCTGGCAGCTTCACCGAGGCCGCTAATCATGCTTGATACTTACTTGTCATTTTCAAGTTATGGGGTCCAGAAGAAGTCGTTACCGTCGTAAAAAGTCAGCACACGGTTAATGGACTAAATCCATCAGTCTTCTATGGTTCCTTGCACCAAGCCCATACATACATATGTTTACCAATCAATCTCGAAATCGGGTAATGGTGGTCCGCACATGATCAAATGTTCATTTTGAGGTACATTGCTAGTCACATTCTGAAACTGTCACAGTGCTTTTCCTGCCGGGATCCACAGGGATTTCGAGAGTCGACCTACCCAGCATCTGTGAGTCACTTTGGGTCAATATGAAATAAGCGCTTCTTGAAAAAAGGGAGTGGTGTGCTGGTTTGCTCCGATCGTAGCAAACAAAATCACGGAAACAACCGAACCATCCACCTGAAGTGGGCTTTTTTGAGATCAAACGCTGGCTTAGGGCTTCACCCCAATCCTTGGACAATGTGGGTGGGAGGTTATCTGAGCCGGGAGCTCGTTGACACCTAGGAGTAGACATGCAGCCATAAACCTCCGAAAATGCACGGGGTTCCAGGTTCATCAATCAGAGTTCGAGTGCAGCTCGACAGTTCGACTGGATAGCAACACATGGCCACGATAATTGTCGCCCGAATTGTTCAGTCCAGCAGCACTTCTTTATAGAAAATTATCACGCTAATTTGATCCTCAATGCTTTTGCTTACAGACGGTTTCCAGTGACTGGATTCAAGGATCAACCGAAATAAATTCAGGGCATTTCCGGTGTTC